CCTCCTTGTGAAACCCCAGATATTAGGATTTAACTCCTAGCACTTACCAGCAACCCAGTGGCAGTTATGTGTACCACTATGCTGGGGTTGGTTTGGGTACAAATGTATATGGATGTAAATTGATGTTCTTAATTAAAGGTGGCTTGTGTTAATTTTATGAATACTGTATTGTGTAAGTTTGTTATTTCCTGCCAGAAAATCTGAGCATAAAGCCATCATGAGTTGAAGGGTCTTTAGTAAATTTTGTTTGTTTGTTTGTTAATGCTAAGAAACCTTGGCAGAGGAGGGAATGGCCAAAGGAGACTCAACAATTTCTTGCATTCTGGCAGTTTAAACTTTGAGAACCAATTTATTTTGGACTAAATCTGCAAGAATAATTTGTGTACTGTAGCCAGAAATTCTTTTAGACGGCCTCTTTCCAGTTTTGTCACTTGTCTGCAATGCTAAGTATTATCAGCAGTTTAACGGTCTCCTCATTGGTGCAATTTACACAGACTGCCAGGTGTTGATTTTAGGTCTGTTACACTTTTAGAAACAGTAATGGGATCTCTGTGAGTTCGAAGCCAGCCTGGTCTACAAAAGCTAGTTCCAGGACAGCCTCTAAAGCCACAGAAAAACCCTGGCTCAAAAAACCAAAAACCAAAAAAACCAAAAAACAAAAACCGAACGAACAAACAAGCAGTAATGGAACAAGAGTATGTAGTTGCAGGTTTGGAAAATCCAGGTTGTTTCTACTTGTTTCTCATATTTCAGTGAGCTTTTCTGTGCTAAAACAATGAAATAGAGTTGTATTTAGTGACCTTTTGAGGACTAATTCATTTCTTCTAGCATCTGCTTAGTTGTGGCTTAATGGAAAGAGCTGATGCTGGGCAGCCCAGTTCTCCAACCTCAGTGTGCGCCTCCTCTCTAGCCTGAGAGTGACTGTGTGACTTAAATGTGCTAGTACTTGTACAGCATGGGCTCACCTTTTTATTTATTTATTTGCTGTCATTTTTAAGTGACAATAGCAAAACCAACCAAGTATCTTGCTGGCTGTGACCCCTTTAGGAATTCTCTAGCTTTTCTTTCCCACGTAGCTTCGATCCAGCTGCATTCTGACTTGGACACATTCTTTGCTGGAGTTAGCTTGACCCTGCTCTCCATCATTGACATTCAAACCCCTTGACGTTGACTGAACGGCCGCTTGGGCACAGCTGATGATTGTGACCTTCTCCTGTGCCTTCACCACCTCCAGACTCGTTAAACTTTGTGGTCAAGTAGAAATGAGGAAGCTGTGAAGGGAAGAGAATCTCAGTATGAAGGTCATTTGCATAATTTATAGTTACAGTGTTAAATGCATGCATGTTAATAACTTTAGCTGTAGAATAAAACCTGGTCTTAAAAATAAGAAAATATTGTTAAAATAAAAATAAGCATTTAGGTCAGTAAGTATCAAAGTTTCTAAAGCAGTGTTAGGTTTTTGCCTGTGGATTTGGACAGAGAAGAAAAACCCATAGCTAAAAGTGCCTCATCCCTGTTTGTCTCTCCTTTTTGTTTCAGGCACTTTGGCAACATGCCAATCATATGTATGTAGATTTCTGATATGACAAGACTTGGCTTTCCCTCTGAGGAATCCCTGACATCTGCTTTGAAGTCACATTCCACATTTACTTTTAAAGTCTGTGTGTGTGTGTGTGTGTGTGTGTGTGTGTGTGTGTGTGTGTGTGTGGTATGAGTGTGTGTGACTGTGTGAATGTGTGTGTGTGTGGTGTGTGTGTGTGTGTGTGTGTGTGTGTGTGAAATTTTCCCCCACATTGTCAACGGAACCTAGGGACTGCCATCCACCTTGCAAGCTTGTGTGCATACAGGCAAAGCATTCAGACACATAACATAAAATAATGATCAAGGGCTGGAAAGATGGCTCAGCTGTTAAGATCACTGGCTGCTCTTCTGGAAGACCCAGGTTCCATTCCCAGCACCCATATGGTGGCTCACTATGTCTGTAACTCTAGTCCCAGGGGAATCTAATGCCCTCTTCTGGCCTCTAAGGGCACTGCGAGCATGTGGTATGCAGACATACATGCAGGCAACACACCCGTATACATAAAAATAAAATTAAATCTTAAAAAAGCTTTTGTTGAAGAATTTAGTATAGAATTACTTTATTGTATTATGACTGACTTAATAAAATGTTTTTATTGACTTTTCAAAATTAGTTTGGTTTTTGTAGGCATGATTTTTATCAGATTGGTTTTGATTCATCTGACACTGACTTACCCATGGCACCTTCCATTCTCCTTTGACTATGATTCCTTTCCAGTGTTTAACTGTGTTTTAGTTCATGATTTTAAGATGATCTTTACATTTTCACTACAGAGTTGTGAAACTATAGAATGATGTATTTAGATTGCTTGGGTCAAGATCTTTTGTGGATTTTTAATGGGATAATGAAATGCATATATATATATATATATATATATATATATATATATATATATA